CCCTATCTTCACTTTGCATCTTATGTATAGTGTAACGTGCACTTCAACATGCATAATGCCTAACATATCAGCCATAATAAATTTTTGGATCTACAGACAGACCGGTTGAATTAATCTTCAAATGTACTTGTGACACTGAATCTTGAGAGGATTATATTAGCGCAAAATTAGCGGTTGAAGTCTCTCTTCTTCTTCTTCTTCTTCTTCTTCTTCTTCTTCTTCTTCTTCTTCTTCTTCTTCTTCTTCTTCTTCTTCTTCTTCTTCTTCTTCTTCTTCTTCTTCTTCTTCACTCTTTTGAAAACCCTAATTGTTACAACATGGTACACTGAATCTTGAGAGGATTACATTGACATATTTATGACTATTCTTTATGAAAAAAAAACTCTTTTTTATGAGATCTAATCTCTTTATTTATATATACCGAATAGTATTGCCTATACGTGTGACATGTCACACTATTTAGAACAAAAATACCTTAACTATCCCACATATCTTGTATAAATATAGGGAATTTCTTAATGCACCCTATATGTTACTTATGCACCACAAAAAAGTACTAAAATGCCCATTAGATTCGAGAGATGCATCTCCGGACGCAACCTGCACCAACATTATGGCGCACCAAATGAGTGTCATCCTAAATGAACACTAAAAAAAATTTGGAGATACATCTCCGAAATTTTCAACAAAATTGTTGATAGTTGATCAGCCCAATGAACATTTTAGAGATGCATCTTTGGAAGTTTGGGGTGGGATTTCAAAATTTGATGTCACCTTTGCATGTCAGATATTTCTGGAGATGCATCTCCAGAATAATTTGATAAAGCACAAAGCTGCATGATCACACAACCATACTTATTTTTCACTCAAAACCCTCACCAAAAATCCTTCCATTCTCAACCCACATTTTCACTTCAAATCTTTAATCTTGTGTTTCATCACATCAAAGGGAGCAAAATAATTTGGAATTCCTGGTAAAGATCATTTATTTCAAGTCGCGTTGCTCACATTAATCTTGTTTTCTGCTTGAAAAACTTGCATTTTTTTCAAAAGATACATTTTTGGAACGAGTATGAACTTACTCGGAAATGCATTTTTGGTATCTGTCTGTGTCCATTTTTTTAAGTTCTGTTTACAACATTGACGCTTATTTACTATTTTGTGGTAATTATTTTTATTAGATATGGTGCACCCTAATGTTTTCCCCAAACAAGTTGTGCCTCCCACTGTTAAATGTGTTGTTGTGAAGGCGGTAGATATTGGCAACCAATTTAAAAATGAGAAAGAGTTTGAATCTCGTGATCAAATTCTTCAATGGAATCGTACAGAGGCCTTCAAACTGGGATTTAGTGTGGTTATCGGAAGGTCCGATAATGGTTCAGATAGAAGATGTGCTTTTATGAAAATGATGTGCGAAAGAAGCGAGAAATATATACCTCCTCTCCGGAATTTTAAACGAGACGACACCAGTTCAAGAGAATTTGAGTGTCCCTTTAAGGTACGTGGTTATATGTTGGCAAATAATAACTGAAGATTTAATGTCATACGTGGTTTTCATACCATGATTTATGTGAATAATTAGGCGACCGTCCAATTGTGTGTCACCTCATGCCGGAAGAGAAGGAATGTGTTGCTAACATGGCATTGAATTTGGTTCAACCAAAAAACATACTTGCAACTTTGAAACGTAAAACACCAAAAAATATCTCAAATATTAAGTAAGGGTACAATATTCGGTACCAAACTAATAAGGCAATTAGGAGGATAGAACTGAAATGCAATAACTGTTGACACTGTTCGATGATAACAGTTATGTGTCTAGGTACCAAACGTGTGAGGATGGAGTTATCGTTTGAGATATATTTTGGGCTCATCCTGATTCCATCAAGTTGTTTAATGCATTTTCTATTATGCTCATACTTGATTTAATGTACAAGACCAATAAGTATAGACTTTCATTATTGGAGATAGTTGGTGTTACCTATAATGAGAAGACCTATTCGGTCGGGTTTACACTTCTATAGAGGGAAAAAGAAGGGAATGTTACTTGGGCGTTAGAGGTGTGTCAGGTAATGTTGAAGGACCAAGAAGATATGCCTAAAGTGTTTCTACTTCTTATGCATTACTTTGTAGGTATCACATAACAAGGAATGTGAGAAGTCGGGTTAAACCTACGGTAGGGACGAAATAGATAGAGTTCGAAGATAGAAAAATGGTGAAGGTGAGTGTGGTTATGAAAAAAATAATGGATGCATGGAATCATATAGTAAATTCTTCCACAAAATAATTATATGCCGATTCCGTTATGCATTTTAAGAAAGTGTTCGAAAAATACCCTGATTTTTTGAAATATGCTGAAAGCATAATTCTTGACCAGGTAAAGAAGAAAATTGTTTGTGCTTGGACGGATCAGGTTAAACACCTATGAAATACAACAACTAACCGAGTTGAGTTTGCCCATGCTACATTGAAGAGTTGGTTGAGAAATAGTAAGGGATATTTGTGTAGAGATTGAAGAGGGGTTTGAATTATATTTTTCAAAAGGCTAAAAGAGCTGATAATGTAGGCTCCAATAGCGCAAAGTGTGGATGCACAATTATGAAAACATATGGTTTCCCATGTGCTTGTGTGATTGCAAAAAAGATGAAACTTGGTAGCCAAATAAGAATGAATGAGATTTTCACTCACTAGAAGAGGCTTACATTTGATGATGATGGTGTCATAAAAGATGCTAAAAGGAATATCTCTATCTTGATCGAATGGGAAGTGATACAAGAGAGATTTTTGAAATCCGATGATAACATAAAACTCCACATTAAGGAAAAATTGAGGAAGATTGCTTATTCGGAAACCTTTGACTTGAAACCACTCTCTCAACCGGTAAAAATAAAAGGTACTCCAAAGAAGTTCAAGCTTACAACAGGTGACAATTCATCGGTGCGGTCTCCTTCGTAATTTAAACATGTTGACAACGTTTTTCCAGACTCACCAACTCCAAAATCTCAAAAAAGTGTTTTCAAAGGAGCTTGCATTAGCAAACCACCTCATACATCGCCTCTACAAAAGATTTCATTCATTGACTAGATTTCAATTTTTATGCACAAATACATCGAGCGGATCACCAATGTTGAGGGGGACAATAATTATGGTTATCTAGGTGTTTAGGCTTTACTCGATAAAGGAGAAGATAATCATACACTTGTCCGCCATCAACTTATCAAAGAATTGAGGACTCATAAAAAGTCATACACACGGTTGTACGAAAAGAAAGAAAACTTCAAATAAGTTTATGAGTCTCTTGTTCCTTGCCTTAGTGGACCGACACCATAGGAAAAATGGACGCGCTTCTCTAAAATGGGTCACCTCATAGTATGTGCCTATGATAGAGTGTGTGTTGAACTTACATAATGCAGTTTTTCAGAAACCTTTTTCACACTGCCTACTGCCCCACCTCAAAATCCAAATGATAATAGTATGTGTATTATGTGACTTTCAAAATCACGATATTTTGTTCAAGTTTACTTGAAATTAGGATACCCTATACCACTTACATCATCAGAGTGGACAAATTATTCAACAATAAAAGCTGAGACTTGGTCGAACCCTTTTATTGAAAGGATGCAAGAGTTCGAAAAATTGAGAAACATTGAAAGAGAATCAAATGCACAAAAGTCAAAGGGGGTACCACCTATAGATTTAGCCAGCGGCAAATGTTTCGATTCATTATAATTTCCTATTTAGCCAGACAAATAAGTGTATGTAATTATGTATCAATATTAATGAAGTGTAATATATTCAATTTGTCATATTGTGTCTTAATATTTTAATACATTTTTTTTATCTTTCCTATAACATTTGTTCATGTGTAAAAAAAAAGGTTTTGTTTTCTGTCTGCTGAGGTTCCAAAGATGTATCTCTAGAATAAGATAATAGGGTGCGGAACCGAAAATATATCTCTGGAATCAGCATGCTGAATGGTACACATTTCTCTACAACTTCTATAAATTAAGGTGTTTTTGTTTGTTATTTCACACAAACTGCAAAATGTTTCAAATGTCACAAATAAACATCATCTAGGATGTCGTAAATGTCTCCTTCTCCAGCGCAAAACTCAGGCGAAAGTTTAAGCTCAACGAGTACACCTCTCTTATAGATATTAATAACGAAATCCATAATCTCCTATCTTACAGAGACAATCGAAGAATTATGAAACTCGAGTACCATTCATCGTCGATTGACAACGGAGAAAAAATTGAATTCAATAACTTTGAGCACAAGACATATGCAAATGTAATAGCTATGTGGAATACATATTTTTGTTTCGAAATAAAAATTCTGCTCGAGTTGGAAGCGACGATTTCAAGATTGATTGAAGATATTGTAGAGATATTAAAGTGCCCACCTACATTTCAAAATGATAAAAATTAAATGTATATTAGATATGTCTAAAAATATATCTCTAAAATCTAAATAATATTTTTAATATTTTTGTGTGATTAATAAATATTATATAAAATATATTGAGTACATTAAAAAATTTCCTACCTATAATACACTTGACCTTTAGCACTTAGAGTTTGTTGTATAAGTGACGAGAACATATAAATAAATTAGTCCAAAAATTAGTTAGAAATTTGATATACTTTATTTAGTAGTGTGGGGACTCACTAGTGACGAAGAAGTCAAAGAAATACTAGACACATAATACAACTATTACTACATGTAGAGAGTTTAGAGATAATGATTAAGATCCATGTTTCATGTACTGCGCCGACAATAACTCATCCTATTTCTAACTCAAAAATAATGAAGGGACCAGAACACTTCTTACCTACTTTACTTTAATTAATTAATACTCACAAGAACTAACTAAACTCTCTCACTTTCCTAATCAAAAACATTACTAATTTAGTTCTTTTTTTCACAAAATTCTAGTTCTTATTTTCTTCATTGATGTTTGTTTATCTATGTATGATGTGTATGCTTGTGATTGAATTCTCATGATGAGAAGAATGGAGGAATTGCCAGGGGCGTTAGGAACCAGTTCCAGTTTTGCTCTTCGATTGGGCCAAACCGTTTTTTCCTCTGCTTCCCTTTTCTACATGTGTTTGGATGTTGATTTCTATGGTTATTCTGCTTTCTGGTTAGTATCTATCTATCTACCTATCTGCATAATTCTGTTTTTCAATTTCATATCAGGGTTTCCTGCTTCTGGGTATCTCTAGTTTTGTTTTTCTTTTTGTAAAGTTTGCAACTTTATCAATTTTACTTTGTTACTTAGTTTTTTTACTAGTAACTGGATGGTGGGTCCTTTGTTTTAATGAGTTGCGAATATGTTTGGTAGAATTGATACAAGGAGGTAGATTTGAGGAAGAAAGAAAGTAATTCATATTGGATATTAATGGATACCATATTTCACATCTATGAGTGTTGTAATGGTTAGGCTAATAAGGAAAAAGAAAATGGATTTGTTGTGAAGGGCTAGTAGCACTAGTAGATAGTAATCCTCACAATGAAACACTTACACTTACACCGATATTGAACACGACCACGACACTGATACGTCTGGAGCTGTTAACAATTTTCACATATGTTGGTATCTGACTCTAACACGCGTTACATGTCGAACACGGCTTCATGTGCTAGTAAATAGAAATTCACACATTGAAACACTCGCAGATACGAATATTAAACATGGCACTGACCCGATGAAACTGTTTATAGTTTGAAAAATGGAAGTAATTGAAAGTAATTAGATATGTTGGGGGCAGACATTAACATGTGTTGGACATCGAACATGTTCAATGCTACACTTGATCCGCATGGATTCAATTATAGGCGAAGGAATGTTGGTATGCTTGCTTTGTTATTGAAATTGATTCTTTCGTCGGGGCTATTATAAACACTAGTTACCTTACGGTTACGATTTTGCAATTTCACTGCCAAAATCGCTTCAACATGGTGATTATGATAAGAGTACATGTTTTTTTTTCTTCTGCAAAATAAGTTTATCTTGTCTTGATTATCTTTTCTGTTATTCCAAGCTTTTTGGTAATGGTGATGGGTTTGGTAATTTCCTGGAGCACAACACTATTGATGGTAGACGCGTATTCGATCTTTATAAAAAAAGTACCGAAGCAACCGAGATTCATTTTTACGATTACCGTGGGCGACATGGTATGTGAAATTTACGACTAAAACTATCATTGTTTTGCAGTAATGCACCAAATAATGTAAGTTTTTTTGTTATTGTATACATCTCAGGTTTTGTCATATCTGTTATTAGCTGCAGCATGTTCAACTGCTAGTGTGACAGATTTGTTGATGAAATCTGATAAATCGTATTGTCCAGAAAATTTATGTAGCAGATACCAAATATCTGCTGCTATGGCCATCTTGTCTTGGTTCCTTTCATCAGCTTCTTGTCTAATTAACTTTTGGGTTTTTCCTTCTTTGTGAAGTTTCTTTCTCACTTTTGATGTGTATAGGAATGATAAGAGTTCAAAATGGCGAAGTCATTTGTTGTTCTTATGATATTTTTTGTTTCCATTAGAATAAAGTTATCATATTATAGGCTACATATGTAATAATTGCTTTTGTAATTGAAAAGAAATATGAAAATTCCATTTATTGTTCTCAACTGCTTCCCAGTGATTAAAGAGAGAACCAGTTTTTTGCAGGATACCAGGCTCCAAACCCATCTCATTGATAACTTAACTTAGAATATATCAATTTGATAATTTATAATATTAGTTTTTCATAATTATCTAATTTATTATTTCTCATGTTTGATATAATTTAGAATAAATTATGAGTTTGAAAAAATTAACTATTTCAATTTTAAAAGTAATTTTGATGTGGGGATGGGACAGGACAGGAGCAGAGTCATCTCAAATTTTGTAGAGGTCGTGTGTAAGAAGTTGAAATTAACTTCATTTTAATCTTGAAGTGTTTTAAGAGGTCTTATTTATTGAATGTAATTCAATATTTAAGTTAGTTTAGCTTTTGAATTTCATTTGTATTTAAGTTTATATTTGCCTTTGAGTTTAAATTTGCATTTAATGTGCATTTGAGTTTGGGTAACGAAAGTGTATTTGTAACAGATTTTCAGTTAGTTAGAAAATCTCTCTCTCTCTCTCTCTCTCTCTCTCTCTCTCTCTCTCTCTCTCTCTCTCTCTCTCTCTCTCTCTCTCTCTCTCTCTCTCTCTCTCTCTCTCTCTCTCTCTCTCTCTCTCTCTCTCTCTCTCATTTCTTGTGCATTGTTAATGGAGGCTCATTGTTGAACTCCAACAATTAGTATCTAGTTTGATTCACATAAACACGAGGTGTAGTGAGGTGTATGATTGATTTCGTTCTGAAATTTGTGTTTAATTGTAGTTCGAAATAAGAGAGAATCACAAATCTTAATTCTCATGGTTTGGGAAACACGATTGATGGTGAGAACTGAGTGATTTGCACAAAAACAAAGATGAACGACAACAAAGGTATCTTGAACACTAAGCTTCCAGTATTCGACGAAAAGAATTGGAATCGATGGTCGATTCAGATGCTTGTATTATTTGGAGCTCGAGATATTCTTGATCTCGTCAATGAAGTTTGCATACCGGTTGTAGAAAATGAAACAGAAGCGCAAATAATTGCGCAATGAGAAACGAAGAAGAAGGATCAGAAGACGTTGTTCTATATCCATCAGTTGTGTGAATACAAAGGTGTTTGAGAAAATTGATGATTCAACGACGCCGAAGGCGACGTGAGATACCCTGATACGATGTTATGGTGGTGACACATCAGTGAAGAAGGTCAAACTGCATTCCCTACGTAAGCAATATGAGAATCTCAACATGAAGAATAATGAGAAGGTATCTGGTTACATCTCCAGAATGATTGTGGTCACTAATGCGATGAAGTCTTGTGGAGGAAACTCTCTCTGAACAAATAATCATTAAAAAGGTACTGAGATCACGTACTCCTTAGTTTGATTACATAGTTGCAACCATATAACACTATAAACATACCAGCACCATGAGAATTGAAGAGCTTCATGGCAGTTTAGAGACACAGGAGTTGCGTCTGAGAGAAAGAAACTTTGAACAAAAGTTAGAATAGGCTCTAAAAGCTTAGATTCTGAAACATTCTTTTTGCAAGATGAACCAAAAGCAAACATGGTTAGAGAATAAGAAAAAGTATGGTGGTGGTTTTCAAACATTAGAACTCTCCAATTCTGATAAGAAACATCAGAATGTTCAGAAGGGAAAAGAGAATTTTGACAAGAGAAAGGTCCAATGCTATAGTTGCAACAAGTTTAGCCATTTTGTTGTTGATTGCTGGTTAAATAAAGTTAGAAAGGATGAAGAAGCCATCATAATCAGAGAAGATTTTGATGATGAACCTGTGTTATTGATGCCATCTCAGAATGTAGGTGAATCAATCCTAGACTGGTGGTATATGGACAATGGATGCTCAAATCCCCTCTGGAAACAAGCAATTGCTGGTTGATTTTGACTCTGATAAAAGGACCAACATCAGATGTGCTGGTGATGAGTATCTGAATGCTAAAGGAAGGGGAAATGTTAAAGTTGAAGAATGGCAAAAATGTAATGATAAATGATGTATGGCATGTTCCTGACATGAATAGCAATCTGATGAGTGTAGGTCAACTGATTGAAAAAGGATTTTCAGTAACCATGAAGGACAATCTCTTGAATTTGTATGACTATAATCAGAAGATGATTATGCTGTCTAAATTGGGAAAAAAACAGAACATTCAAGGTGAATGTTGCAACATTAAACACTTAATGCCTTAATGTAGTAGCAGGATGTAATATGAGATTAAGCTATTGATTAACTTAACTCACAAAGCAAGAGTCACCACCACTCTTTATTGTTTCCAAAGGAATGGGAAAAGAACGAATAAAACACACAGAAGTCTTAAAACAAAAACAATAAAACAAAGAGATAAGGGTAGGGGGTTTGTAATGCAAATGGAAGGTGTTAGCACCCTTCACATCTATAGTACTTTATAGGAACCTCTTGAAAATCCGCGTTTGGCTTAAAACCGAGTTGTTTGCAAAAATATTTGGAGATGAGAGAAAGAAATGTTTTTTTTTTTAAGATTTTCGTTTGACAAGACTTCATAAGCCTCGTGCCTACGTACCGAAAAAGTGCAATGGAGGATCAAAACCTCGTAGTTCGTGGTAACAATAAAAAAAGTGTTTGTTTTGATTGCTTTTAAATGAATAGACATTTCGTCATATTCAAGTGGAATCAACTTACTACCCACAATAAATGAGGAAGGAGCATTTGCATCATCTTGAGATGAAGGATTTTCGCTTAGATTGAAATCAACAAGTCTATCACTCAACATCTAAGTGGAAAATTTCATCACTTCTCTACATTATTGTGGAAGTATAGGAGTGCATCACTACAAGAACACAACTAATGGTTATCCTTAAGAAAATGTTTAAAAGGAAAATCTGCACAAAGACACAAAAGATTTGAATGAGTTTTGTATTTTTTAAGTCTTTTGAAATTATTTTGATATGCTTATGATGTCTTAGCATTTATTTAAGAAAAACGTTTTGAAAATCACTTGGCAAAGTTAAGGTTTATTGAGAAAGTGGTTCAAGTTTGAAAACAAGAAGGTTTTGAAAAAGGGAGAAGATTTTGAAAATTAAAGAAGTGGAGGAGATGAAGAGACTATCCTAATGCATAACATAAATAACAAGAAATAAAAGGTCTCATTGTAAGGTATCTCAAGAGGAAGCCTTTGTGTGTATATTATGAACTAACCAGGATCTAGCCAACACTTTACAAGAGTCAAAACCAACATTCCATTCCTTTGGAGTAGGCCATAAGCAACAAGTAAGCACATGATAAGACAATCATCAACTGAAAGAAGAACTTAAGCCATAAGTTCAAAGCTATGTATCAGAGCCAAGTCTTCAAGGTCAACCAAAAGTCTCAAGTATCAGATGAATCCAATAGCATAGAGAAAAGTAACCAAAGTCCATAGGTCCAAAAATCAAACTCCAAGTCAAGTTAAGGATAGTAACCATTAGTCCAAAGATTAGAGAACCAAGTTTTTTAGGGTTTTTCCTTTATTAATGTGTTTAAAAGAAAAAGAAATGCCCAGGGGGAAAAGGAAAAAGAAGCATACAAATAAACAATATGAAATGTAATGCTAAAAAATAAAGGCATAAAAGTAAATGGCAAGAAATTAAATGATAAGAAAATTAAATGACATACAGTAAAGTTAGCATAATAATAATGTTAGTATTGATGTTAAAGTTAATGAATTGATTCAGGACAAATTTAGCGTTATGTTAAGCAATCGTAGCATAATCTATTAGAAAGATCATACTACGGGAGGCCGGTCAATAATTTATGTACCATACATGTTAGAGATATGGTAGAAACCATACACCTAAAACATGTTGCACAAGTAAAAACCAAGGAGGGATCAAGCACCAAGGCAAGGAGATTAGTCCATTACATCAATCATTCTTCAAGATAACTTATGACAAACTTATGCATCAATCCAAAATACCTCAAATGATCCATGATCAATTAGAAGGTATATTTGAAATGATGAAAGTTCATCAAGTATCAATCCAAACTTCATTAATAAGATGTACACTAAATTATCCTATTGATCAAGAGAAAAAGAAAAAAAAAAGAAGGAGAAGGAGAGAAATGAAACCAAATTGAACCATAACTTTGATCAAGTTATCATCAAGATCAACCACCTATCTTGGTGGATCAGGATTTTCAACCTATCGACACCCAAGGTCCATTGATCTTGATGAAACTTATGATCAAAAGTCATGATCCAAGGCACCAAAAGTCAACCAAATTAAAAATGCAATAATAAATAATTAAAATGCATGGAAAATGGTTTTAAATGGAAAATAAAAGAGAAAAATCCAAATGAAGCATCCAAACATCAAACAAGGGCTCAATAAAATTAAGATAGGTCGGAAACAAGTCAATGATCATAAAATAATTTTTTGGAGGTTTTTATAATGCATAAAAGTATTTGTAAACCAATTAAAATTCATGAAATATGAGAAAAATAATCAAAAATATCAAAACACAAAATAAAATTGTGAAAAAATTACACAAGTTGTGATATGCACTAACTTTTGAGAATTATGCATTTCCTTCAAAATTCCTGAAACAACTTTGTTAACTTTTGGAATATTAATTCTTTTGTGACTCAAAGAAAGTAATCTGCCTTATAATTACAAGAATGGCAGAATTTGATACATGCATAGAAAATAAACGAGACTGATATGAAATAAATGAGACATAAGAAATGAAATTAAGTAGAAGGGGCACCACACTCTTTCTAATCCAAGAGAGAATGATAAGCCTATGGATGAGGATCACCACAAAAAAAGGATTTCTTGATAAGATCAATTTTGGTCCAATCCAGAACCTAAGATCAAATACTCTCACTT